AAACCCCGTCTCTACTAAAAATACAAAAAATTAGCTGGGCATAGTGGTGCACACCTATAGTCCCAGCTACTTAGGAGGCTGAGGCAGAAGAATCACTTGAACCCGAAGATGGAGGTTGCAGTAAGCCAAGATCATGCCACTGCACTCAGTCTGGGTGACAGAGTGAGACTTCATCTAAAAAAAAAAAAAAGAAGAAGCAGCAGCTGGGCGCAATGGCTCACATCTTAATCCCAGCACTTTCGGCGGCCAAGGCAGGTGGATCACCTGAGGTTGTGAGTTTGAGACCAGCTTGACCAACATGGAGAAACCCCATCTCTACTAAAAATACAAAATTAGCCAGGGGAGGTGGCACATGCCTGTAATCTCAGCTACTTGGGAGGCTGAGGCAGGAGAATCACTTGAACTCAGGAGGCGGAGTTTGCAGTGAGCTAAAATCGTGCCATTGCACTCCAGGCTGGGTAACAAGAGGGAAACTCCCTCTCAAAAAAAAGAAAAAAAGAAAGAAAGAAACCATGAGACAATAAATGTGTATTGTTTTAAGCTACTGCATTGGTGATAATTATTATGTGACAATAGAAAACGAATACACCCACCATGACATGCTGCTGCATGAACTGAGGAAATTTGCCTTACCCTATACCCCATAGAAGGGGTTTTCTTCGATTTCTTCTTGAAAGTAGGTGAGAGCTTGGGAGCTGCAGATAGAGAGCCTCCCACTTCTTGAATATGTTTCTGCAGATATCCATTACCCGACCCAAACTACAGCCCCACCAAATGTCCCAGCTGTGATATATCCTGTTTCCCAGAACTCACTCTTGACCCTGACAGCAGACTTCCCTAAAGGAGATCTTGTATTCTCTCAGGAACGCTGCCATTGCACTTGGCCCAGAGCTTATCTTTTGAGAGTCTGTCGCAATGGTTGGGCTTGCCACTCTATTGTCAAAAATAAGCAATATTTTTGAGCAGAGATCACGCCATTGCACTCCAGCTTGGGCAACAAGAGCAAAACTCCCATCTCAAAAAAATAAAAACAGGCCAAGTGCCATGGCTCACGCCTGTGATCCTAGCACTTTGGGAGGCCAAGGCAGGCAGATCATTTGAGTCCAGGAGTTCAAGACTAACCTAGGCAACATGGTGAAACCCTGTCTCTACCAAAAAAATACAAAAAGTCACTGGGCATGATGGTGCATGCCTGTAGTCCCAGCCGATTGGGGAGCTGAAGTGGGAGGATCGCTGAAGCCTAGGAGGTCAAGGCTGTGATGAGCTGTGACTGTGCCACTACACTCCGGCCTGAGCAACAGATCAAGACCCTGTCTCAAAACACAACAACAACAACAAAGATATTTTTTGTTCTCATCAAAGATAAAAAATAAATAAACAATATAGTATTTAAGGATGCATATAGGTAGTAAAACTATAAAGTAAAGCCAGAAATAATTATCAAAAAATCAGAATAGTGGTTACTTTTTGAGGAGGAAGAAGAAAAACAATTAAAGTAAAGCACACGGAGGATTTTCAAGTCACTGGCAAAGTTTTACGCGTTCATCTGGATAATAAGTACACAGGTGTTCATTTTACCATTATTCTATAAATTGTCTGTATTTTTATACAGTCGTCTGTAGTATTATGCTTAATACATAAATGCTTAATAAAAGATAGCATTATTCTAAATTGAGGAAGTGGAAGACATGAAACTACAAATTAAAATTTCATCCGGACTGCTTTGCCCTTGAGTTTCTTTCCTTAGAATTTGAACAGTGTTAAAAGTTTCATAGGAAATAGTCTCTGAATATCAGGAACTCTTCAGAGTTTCCACCAGTGGGGAAAAGATGAGCTATTCAATAAACGATATTAGATTTTATTCACATCTCAACTCTTACACCAAAATAAATTTCAGATGGATAAAGACTTACATAAGAAAAAACTGAAAACTTGAAAGTAAGACAAGAAAATATGGGAGAATTATTTTACAATCTGGGAAAGTCTTTCTAAGCTTGATGCAAAATATAGATGCAATAAAAGGAAAAAAGCTAAATATAAATGCATGTTTTAAATTCTGCTTACTACAACACCATAAACAAATGCAAAGATATGAAAACCTTAGAACAACTATTTGTATTTCTACAGATTGATAAGAAAAAGACCAGTAATTCACCGGGAAAAAAAAATGGGCAGAGGATATGAACAGACAGTTCTTAGAAATTTCGGATGGCTTTTAAACATATGAAAGTATGCTCTATCTTTTCATAATAAAGGAAATGCAAATTGAAACTACCAGATTGGCACAGATAAAAATTTTGATAACACCATGTGGTTGAAGGTTAGAGAAACAGATGCTCTCACATATTGCTGGTGGGAGTGTAAACCGGCTCAATCCCTGTGGAGAATAACTTAACGATATCTATCAAAATCTAAAACGCATGTTTTGGCAGGCACCATGAGTTGTGTACCCCAAAATCATTGTTCCATATTCCTTGTTAATAGAATCCATTTGTTCAAGTGGCAATGTGCCAAGTCCTAAGAAATGAATTTATGCACAGATGTATTCATATTTATTAAGCACTTACTGGGTGCTGGGTACTGTTCTGGGCTCTGGGGATACAACAGAGGAGGAGGCAGAACAAACCCCATCCTTTACGACGATCCTGCTCCCACTGGTGGAGACACCAGAGTAAAATGCCAATAGTGGTATTTTGATGTGTATTTCAGATAATAAATGACTTTTTTTTTTCTGGTGAGACCGAGTCTTGCTCTGTTGCCCAGGCTGGAGTGCAGTGGCCTGATCTTGGCTCACTGCAACCTCTGCCTCCTGGGTTCAGTGATTATCCTGCCTCAGCCTCCTGAGTAGCTGGGATTACAGGCGCCCAGCCTAATAAATGACTTTTCATCAAAACTCAGACACTTTTAAGATTGAATGCAATCCTATTATAAAATATACTAGGGCCAGGTGCAGTGGCTCACACCTATAATCCCATCACATTGGGAGGTCAAGGCAGGAGGATCACTTGAGGTCAAGAGTTCAAGACTAGACTGGCCAACATGGTGAAACCCTGTCTCTACTAAAAATACAAAAATTTGTCAGGCGTGGTGGCGCTTGCCTGTAATACCAGCTACTCAGGAGGCTGAGGCAAGAGAATCACATGAGCCCGGGAGGCAGAGGTTGCAGTGAGCCAAGATCATGCCACTGCACTCCAGCCTGGGCAACAGAGCGAGACTCTGTCTCAGAAAACACACACGCACGCACACACACACACACACACACACACACACACACTATGACAAGAGGTATAAACTGGCACTGTCTCAAGTCAACTGGGAAATATGGTTACCTGTAATCCTAAAATATTGATGATGTCAATACTGCCTCAGTTGCTATGATGCCCTTCAATTCTAAAATAACTCTGTCAGGAAAGTGAAGAAAATCAGAACCCAAACTAGCTCTGGAAAAAAGATACTCAACCTCTTTAATAATGAGGAAAATTAGAAACAAATGAATAATAAGATGCCTTGGAAGGAATTGGAAGACAAGAAGGATAGGATCAGAATGGTTTCAAAACTTGTCCAACTTTTCTAACATGGTGATGTCTGTGTAAAAAAAAAGCTTGTCCAACTTGGATTTGAAATCGTAGTGCAGTTTTCTGGATGTACCTCCTAAAACAAAAAAGATGAAAACATCATTGTTGAATTGAGGGGAAATGGTGTTACACTAACAAATTTCCATTCTTAGACCCAGCAGAGAACACTAGAATACAAAAACAAAAAAACTGATACAGTATTAGAATCACTATCGATTCCCTTTTGCCTGAGAGTCACTTTCCCAGCCTCTGTGTGACCCAAGGGTGGTTAACGAAACAGGAAAACAACCACAAGGATTCCTCTAGGAAGGCTTTCTCCCAGTTAAAAGGGACATTCAGAAGGAAAGTGTGTAGGCCAGGAGTGGTGGCTCATGCCTATTATCCTAACACTTTGGGGCACCGAGGAGGGCAGACCACCTGAGGTTGGGAGTTTGAGACCATCCTGACCAACATGGTGAAACCCTGTCTCTACTAAAAATACAAAAATTAGCTGAGCATGGTGGCACATGCCTGTAATCCCAACTACTCAGGAGGCTGAGGCAGGAGAATTGCTTGAACTGAGGAGGCAGAGGTTGTGGTGAGCCGAGATCCCACCATTGCACTCCAGCCTGGGTGACAAGAGGCTCAAAAAAAAAAACAAAAACAAAAACGCAAGTGTGCCGGAGTTGCCTTTTCCTTGATGTTCTAGCCTTGAAAGTGGCCATGATGGCTGCAGCAGCTACTTCGCAGATGACTTACATGAAGTGACAATCATGAAAAAGAAACGTTCCTTTGCTAAAGTTAGCAGAGAAGAAAGACCCAGAACAAGAAGAGAGCACCCAAAGCCTCTGATGGCCTTGTTGAGCTGCCAGATCAACTCGACATCACTTAAGAGAATTTTTATGAATTAGAAATGAGAGAGAAGCTGGACATAGTGGCTGACACCTGTAATCCCAGCGATTTGGGAGGCCGAGGCAGGCAGATCACTTGAGGCCAGGAGTTCAAGACCAGCCTGGCCAACCTGGTGAAACTCCATCTTTACTAAAAAATACAAAACTTACCCAGGCGTGGTGGCATGCCTGTAATCCCAGCTACTCCATAGGCTGAGGCAGAAGAATCACTTGAGCCCGGGAAGCAGAGGTTGCAACAAGCCAGGATCATTCCACTGTACTCCGTCCTGGGCGACAGAAAGAGACTTGTCTCAAAAAAAAAAAAAAAAGGAAGAGAGACTTTCCTCTGTATACTTTCTGGTACTTTTGGAACTTTTTTCTGTGTGCATAAATTGCTTATTCAAATAAAACTGTAATGCCTGAGATTTTGTTTGTTTGATTTTGGGGGGTTTTATTATTTTTTGGGGATTTTTTTTAGACAGTCATGCACTGTCACCCAGGCTGGAATTCAGTGGCACAATCTCAGCTTACTGCAATCTCCGCTCCCCGGTTCAAGTGATTCTCCTGCCTCAGCCTCCCAAGTAGCTAGGATTACAGGCACGTGCCACCATGCCCGGCTAATTTTTATATTTTTAGTAGAGATGGGGTTTCACCATGTTGACCAGGCTGGTCTTGAACAGCTGACCTCAGGACCTCAGGCCAGACCACATCTGACCTAATGCCTGAGATCTTATCAGTCAAATATTTAAACCAAAAATATTTTACATCTACATTTTTTAGTGGAAATATAATTTTAAAAAGCACAGTTTGGTCAGAGGCAAAACTGCCCTTGTCCAAGGGCGTTCATTCATTACAGGCGGTGGCTGACGCCTGTAATCCCAGCATTTTGGGAGACTGAGGCAGGCAGATCACTTGAGGTCAGGAGTTCGAGACCAGCCTGCCCAACATGGCAAAACCCTGTCTCTACTAAAAATGCAAAAAAAAAAAAATTAGCCAGGCATGGTGGCAGACCATGTCTAGCTACTCAGCTGCTCAGAAAGCTAAGATAGGGAGAATTGCTTGAACCCAGGAGGTGGAGGTTGCAGTGAGCCAAGATCATGCCGCTATGCTCCAGCCTGGTTGACAGAGTGAAAAAAGCTCAAAAAAAAAAAAAAAAAAAAAGGCAGAGTTTGACGGTCGGGGCTCACACATGTAATTCCAGCATTTTAGAAGGCTGAGGAGGGAGGATCTCTTAAGCCCAAGAGACCAGACTGTGGAACAAAGTGAGATCTCATCTCTATTAAAAATAAACAAAACAGCTTGGTGAAAAATGCGACAGAATAAAGTATATTATAGACAAAAGGAGCCTTCAGTATCAACTCTCACATATTGATTGTCGATGAAGAAAAGAGTTAAACTCTGTAAAATATTTGAGGAGACTTATTCTGAGACAAATATGAGTGACCATAACCAGTGACACAGCCCCAGGAGATCCTGAGAACATGTGCCCAAGGTGGTCGGGCTACAGCTTTTTATAATACATTTTAGAGAGACATAAGACATCAATCAATACATGTAAAATATATATTCGTTCCCTCCAAAAAGGTGGGACAACTCCATGTTGAATGAAGGTGGATGGGGAGTTTCCAGGTAATGGGTGGATTCAAAGATTTTCTGACTGGCAGTTAGTTGAAAGAGTTTGATATCTATAGAAGGGAGTGCCTGGGTGAAGATAAGGGACGGGGACCAATGTTCTTTTTTTTTTTTTTTTTTTAAAAGTCTCACTCTGTCACCCAGGCTGGAGTGCAGTGGCACAATCTCGGCTCACTGCAACTTCTGCCTACTGTTCAAGTGATTCTCCTGCCTCAGCCTCCCAAGTAGCTGGGACTACAGGTACGCACTACCACGCCAGGCTAATTTTTGTATTTTTAGTAGAGATGAGTTTTCACCATGTTGGCCAGGCTGGTCTTGAACTCCCTACCTCGTGATCCAACCCCCTCAGCCTCCCAAAGTGCTGGCATTACGGGTGTGAGCCACCGCGCTCAGCCTCAAAAACCAAGGTTCTTACTATGCAGATAAAACCTCCAGGTAGCAGGCTTCAAAGAAAACAAATAGTAAATATTTCTGAGTCTCACTCCATCACCCCGGCTGGAGTGCAATGGCGCAATCTCAGCTCACTGCAGCCTCCACCTCCCAGGCTCAAGTCATCCTCATACCTCTCAGCCTCAGGAGTAGCTGAGATTACAGGTGCATGTGCCACTACGCCCAGGTAATTTTTGTATTTTTAGTAGAGACAGAGTTTCACCATGTTGTTCAGGCTTGTCTTGACCTCCTGGGCTCAAGCAACCCACCTGCCTCGGCATCCCATAGTGCTGGGATTTCATGTGTAAGCCACTGCACCAGGCCAGATTGTAAAAATTTTTTTTTTTTTTTTTACCTTTTTAAGGTGCAAGACTCTTAGGTGATTCTCTCCTGGTTAAGGAAGAAGATCTGGAAAGGGAAGGCAATTCTCTACCGAAAGCAGATATTCCCCACAAGAGACACCTCTGCAGGCCCATTTCAAAATGTGTCAAATATATATATACATATATACATATGTGTATATATGTATATATACATTTAATTATATAATTATAGATGTGTATATATATACATGGGTAAAATACTTCAATTTACTTCAGGGCCTGCTGTCTGTCATGTTGGTGTCTTACTGCTACAAAAAGCCTGCTTTGTCAGACTCAAGGTCTCTGGTTTAATGTTAATGCTGGTCAGATGTATGTGAATCCCAAAGGGAGGAGAATATAATGAGGCTTGTCTGACCACCTGTTCTCATCACGGCATGAACTAGTGTTTCGGGTAACTTTGGAATGCCCTTGGACAAGGAAGCATTCATTCAGTTGGTTGGGGAGCTTAGAATTTTATTTTTGGTTTACATGGTAAAGCTTAAAGTTGAAGAAATCACTATCCTCAGTCAAGCTGAAGCCTGGGTATCCAGACCTCTTTCACCTAATTTATTTGCAATTAACCCAAAGTGCTAGGCCAGGCACAGTGGCTCACACCTGTAATCCCAGCCCTTTGGGAGGCAGAAGCAGGGAGGATCACCTGAGGCCTGGAATTCGAGGCTGCATTGAGCTAAGATTGCACCACTGCTCTGCTGCCTGGGTGACAAAGCAAGACCCTGTCTCTAAAAGAAATTTTAAAAGCAAATAACAAAGTACTGGTTTATGATGTATTTATAAAACAACATATCTAGTAAGATTTTCTTAGTTTTAGAACCCAGAAAGCTGTGCCAAATGCTTTAAGAATTGACTTATTTACTATTAGGTTTTTTAAATACTTGCAGTCCAGATACTGCTTTTAATTTTTTTTCAAAAGTATCCATACTTACAGGCTCTGATTAAGTTTCAAAGACTAAGCCTGCCGTGCTTGTCGGTGTACGATTCCCTCCTCTAAGATTCCAGACATTCCCGTTTCCAGGCACCGCTGTGTCGGGAGAGCGCTGGGTGAAAATGGCTGTGATCTTTGTGGGGTTTGTCCGGTTATACCTCATTGGGACACCAGAGGGCGCAAGGAGGGCCAGCACTTGTTTTTCTTTAAATCTCGAATACAAAGTCCATGCACAGAACAAAAGACCCGGAACACAGGGGCCTTGAGACAAAGGGACTCAGGGGAAACGGCTGCACGCCCTGTTTTACTGAAGTTGAATTTGCTTCTTCACCCCCCTCACCTCCTCACCTCCTCCCCACCTTAAGAAACTAGAAATAAACGACTTAAGCTGCAAAATAATGAAATCTTTGGCTAACAAGGAAAGCCAAACTAGAATATGTTACTCAACACGTAATAGGCTAAGAGGATTATCACAAATGTATAGTTGAGCTATTTGCTTTGCCTAATATTAGTAACTTTAAAGAAAATATTATTTGCTTTTCTGAGTTCAAGAATAATATTTGCACATAGTAGAATATTTAGAAAAGATGGAAAAGCAAAAAGAACAGAGATCAACACACGCTTACCTAGATATAACTCCTTTTAATATTTTCAGCTACTTCTTTCCAGAATTTTTTTTTTTTTTTTTTGAGA